CTAAGGCAAACAAAAATATATACCAAATACACAACACAATCATTCAATGGCTGTGCCATAACACACTTCACAGCACAGCCTCACTGTTAAAAAGCAGCACAGTGCCTAATATGTGTGTGTGGATTCAGTTTATGTATACTCTATCCAAATACCAATAATAATAATAACATAAAGAGCTACCATATGTCAACTATTGTTTGAGAATTCAATTCATGTAACATTTCTAAAAATGGTTACACAGTAAGTAGCAGAGGATGAAACAGAAGAAACACATGTATCAAAAGGCGCTTGTAACCTTCTGTAATGTAGATAGGAAGTGTGACAAATCAAAGAGAAAATAACCCCCAAAAGAAAGCTCCATGCTTTGTGAAGCTGCAGGTGCTCACCCACCTCTCCTGCTGTCTGACAAACAGTGGCGATGGGATCACGGCTCTAACAGGCACCAACAAGAACGAAACAGACAGCAAAATCCAGAAAGCTCCTCAGAAAATCTCCACTTTCACCATCCAGTTGGAAGCCTGCTCAGGGTAAGATGTAGGAGTAGCTGAACTGCTGCAGACTTGTTTGCTAATGCTTTGATTCTGGCATCAACTCAGCTAACACGTGTGTGCTGAGCGAATGATCCTCCAGTGCTGGGACATTTGTAATGTCTTTCCTCCACACAGACCTTGTGGAACTGCAAAGAGTAAAGCTCATACAATAGGTTTTTGTTCCCAAGCGGAAAGGGTGTGGAGCAAGAAAGTATGGGCTAGTTTTCTCTTTCTTTTCCCCATATGACTGTTTTCTTTGAACTTGAGGAGCCTCAGCACCTTTGAGCCTGTCAGTGCTCAGCCAAGTTTAGCTGAAAATCTCCAGCACATCTAAGGCACAAATGCACACACACACACAAAACAATATCACTTCATAGGTTTCTTTTCCAATATCAAAGATGGCTGAATATCACATAATTTCATATACTTTAAACTGATTCTAACAACCTAACTCCTTTATACCCTTTTAGGTGGAAACTGAAAGCATATGATCTATTCCTGGATCTCCACCAGGACTTGCTAACATGCCATTTTAGCTAAGGTAATTTAGGGCTGCGGAGAACCTAGATCTACTAAAAAAATTGCCTTACAGTTTACTGCAAATGCAAATAAAGAGGTATATAAAGTCTTTAAAGCTATCACAGTAGGAGAAAATACCGCAAAACATTCTCCATGTTTCATATTTTGTAACCCCTTACAAACAGGTACGCGGTACGAACCAGAGAGCACAGAGGACTGAATGAGAGAATGGCATATGTTGGTATGTTGATTTAAAAAAAAGGAAAAGAAAAAACCCTGTTGCATATGCTACAGGATTCCCTAACTGTCTAAAGACACAGATATAAGAATGACCAATTTCAAAAACAGAGCACTGTTGTGAATTACAGCCAGGAAAATCTGCCTGCTAAATTTGATTCCTCTCTTCTCACAGGCATTAGAACTTACAGAGTTGCCAATGACCAACAAGTACCTGATTTCACAAATTGAAAGCTTACATTCACAGCCAGGCAGAGAGGAAAGAAAGAAAGAAAGAAAATAAATACAAGAGAGATACAAATTTACTTAAGTTATCAGCCTAGAAATTTATTGACACTAAGATCATTATTACTATATGAAAAAAGAAAAAAAACAAGCCCACACCTGGACTTTGCTTCCAGACACATGCTGATAGGAACACTGCTGCTCACAGAACACCTGGCCACTTTTCTTCATTTATTTCTCACTGTTGTCTTCCCAGATAAGTGGGGTTGCTCCCAAGAGTGTCTCTTCTCAGTACTTTTAACACCTCTCCTAATACATTCATTCCTTCATACTGCTGGGTCTCTTTCTGTCTAGGTCTACAGTTCTGACAAGGTGTGAAGTTCTCTGAGTGGTTTGTATTTCCCTGGAGGTCCTTGGAAGCAGGCAGCTCTGAGGAAACACGCAGACCACAAGTCATCTGCCTTCTTAAAGAGCCTCAAAGGCTTACCATCTCTAAGTCTTTTTAAGAGAGAAGCGAAAGAACCCCACAAGAAATAAAGCAAGCCCACTGCCAATTACCACAGCAGCTGAGAGAAGCTCACAGGATGCTTACACTCACTTTCAGCTTCAAGATGGACTCACTGTAAGTTAATTTTATAGAAAATTGTAAGAACTACAGTAGGAAATTACATTATAGAAAGCCACAGACAGTTGCTGCAAGAAAAGTGTTATGGAAAACCATAACAGTGACCAAAAAAAAAAGGCATTAGGTACAAGTATCTGGTATGTAAATTAGTTCACAAATTAGGTCTCTGAAGAGCCTAAAGCCTATGAATGTACCATGCATCATCACTGTCACCTCTGAAAACAAATCAGACTCTCATAAACCGAAGGCAGCAAACTGAAAACGCACATCGCTATAAACACAGCCCTCAGGTTTGGTTCAGCAACAGTAAGCACTGAAACTAACCTATTCCACAAAAACTGTTAAGAATTAATGGTACAATCTTTAATAGAGCTTATATATCAGAGAGAAAGGCCAAGTAAACTACCACGATGTGAAAATCATCTTGGTTTTCCCAGTAACAGTGACCCTATCACCCATCATCACCCTGGAAGACATCATCCTCAAAGAGGAAACTCTCTTGTCCCATTGAAGAAATAAAAATCCAAAATGATGCAGGTGCAGAAAATAAATAAAAGGAAAAAAATATGGATTCAGTAAAAAAAGAAAAAAGAAAAAGAAGAAGGAATAGAAGGTGCAAATAAGAGTAAAAAAGGTAGCAATGGGGACAAAAAAAAAAAAAAAAAGAGTGACTATTCTGAGAAGAGTCCTGAAAATGGACAGAAATGGTCAACCAATGGAAGCACAGATTAAAAACAGAATAAAATATACTGCCATAGCCTGATTTCTGTGAGCAAACAAGCACTTCAGAAGAGTTTAATCTCAACTGGAACTACTACTCACACACCAATTTTCTGCTTGTGACTCAAAAGCCTACACAATAATTGGCAGGCAAAACATTTAAAGCATTAGATATCCCATAAATCTGCATTTTAAAGATCAACCAGCATCATTCTGTATTCTGCACAGAAGTATGAGAACTGTGTTTGCATGGCACAGAGCAGTTTCCTCAGATTACTCCTTACATTCCTTAAGAGCAGTTTTACATCATTCATGTAAGTAACTAAAACTCCAGGAACAGTCCTGAAAAATAGATTACATTTTACTTTTTTTCCCCACTCTGCTTTATACACTTCTGCTCTGCAAGTGCAGACAACAAGGAGCACGTTAAGGTTTACCACTCACGCCAGATTTTCCAAAAGGTTTCGTATTGAAAATGAGGTACCTACGCAACCCAATTCTAACTACCTGCAAACTGCTGAAACAAGCAGACGAAAGATATTCAGCATGTGTGAAGAAAGTAATTTTTCCCAGAAGCATTAGAAGAGTCATATCTAAAATAAACATGGATCACACAGCTTTAAAAGCATTGGTGCCAGATTTTTCCACTCAATCAATACCAGAAAGTTGAATAATTTTACATTCCAGAGCACTGTAATTTCTGTAGAAACAAGAACCTTGACTTAGGTGTTCATGAAACATAATGCAAACCAGATTTCCTTATCTCATGCTTACTTTCAGTATATCACATCCCTACGTACTGTCCTTGGTTGGTCACCAACGTGGCTGAAGGCTGCTGTAACCAAATTTTAAACTATAAAATGGTATTATGGCACATGCTACACTGCAAGCAACATATTACCCTTCTTGGGCTACCACAGATGACCCGAAACAACGTTAGGAATTAACAGAGCTGTAAAAAATTGCTGGCAAACCCAGTAGGCACCAGGTTATTCCAACACAGAGTTCAGCTGCCTCTCATTTACTGTTGTATTTTCTTTAACTCACACACAAACATACACACCTAGCACCACTGCTTGAACAGGAAGGGTGGGTGCAGGCTGTCAGATGTGTTCCGCTGCTGACTGCCCTTGCTCTCCCCTTGATTTCTAAAGCAAGGTCCAGGAAGCACTGACACAACCTGAGATACAGAACCAGCCCTGCCTTTCCACACGTTTTGCTATTATCCAGCTAATGGAACTTCATACACTGACTTCAGAGATGTATAAATATTTAAGCAGACAACAAATCTAGCTTGATTTTGATCTAGCTGATCTTGATTGAACTCGATTCTTAAACACTTAAAGTTCTGCTTTATTTTATCCTTAGCAGAGCCATCAGCACAAATGGACATGCATTCCTATGTTTTCTGCTTTTCCATTGAGTCACAAAAGCTACCCGAAGACAATATCTCACCTTCCAGAATCAATGGTTTATGAAAAGAGAACAATTGTGTTTGAGTAAACAACTGTATCAACAATCCTCCCATTCCATTTTCCACTTATCTACATTCTACCGCTGATGTTTCCCTACTTTTCAAGCACAAACACGAGCATTCAGAACATGCAGAGCAAAGCACAAACACAGGCTGTTCCTACAGGTGAAGCCCAACACAGCCTGCTGTTACATGACAGCCACTTTTAACACAAAGAATCCCCTGTCCTACCTTCTCCCACCCCCAGCATAGTGAGAACTGCATCTCCATTACCTGCTCTGTGTCTGCCACATGCACAGCCCAAAGGAGCCACAAATTGCTCTGCACAAGTGCCCCTCAAACAACACAGATGCAGCTGCATCCCCATCCTTCAACGCCAGACTGGTGCCCATATTGTCGTTTCAGAAACCAGCCAGGTTCTCCCACCTTCAACACAGGAGTTGCAGTTTTCCTCTGAATAAACCCCAAAGCACAAGTCCCTGCCAGGTGTGGATGTTTATGAAGCCATCCTTTTCCTGCCGTCCACTTCTGACAAAGGGAAAATCATGTCCCCTCAACAGGAGGAGGGCGGGGGATGGGGGACAAAACCAGCAGCGTATCCCTTCATGTGGAGCCACATCTCCGCCACACACAGGAGCCCAGACCCCTCCGGGAGGAGCGCTGCCCTTACCTTAATGATGCTGCTCCTCCGGGGGATGCCGGGCTTGCCCTCCCGCTGCTGCCCGCCGGGAAACCCTTTCTCCTTGCCGCTGTTCTCGGGGCTTCCGGGGGGCGCGGATCCCGGCTCCTCACCGGCCCCCGCCAGCGCGCAGTCCCCGTTGGAGACGCGGCCGCCGGCGCTGTCAAAGCGGACTCTCCCACCGCCGCCTCCGCCGTCTCCGTCGCCCGCCCTGAAGGCCACCTTGCCCTGCAGCGGCCCCGGGGAGCCGGGCAGCCCCCCGCCGCCGCCGCCGCCGCCGAACTCCGCCATCAGCCGCCGGGCTGCAGCAGCGCAGCGCCGCGGTCCCCCTCCCCTCTGCCGCAGCCGCTGCTCGGCGGTGCCGCTCCTTCCGCTTTCTGGGTATTTACGAGCGGGGGGGAACCAGCAAAAGTCTCTCTCCACCGCGCATTTGGCACCGAGATCGCGTCTCTCCGGGAGGCTGGTGGGGGGCGGACGCCTCGGTGTCGTCTCTGCGAGCACCAGCGCTCGGTCCGTCAGCCCTTCAGCACCTGGGAAAGGAAAAGAGGCGAAACGTGACGGGTTGCTCTCGCACGCGGCGGCGGCGGCAGCGGGGGAGCGTTACACCGCGGCACTCACACTCACACACTCACACACTCACACACACGCACTCACGCACACGCGGGCGGGAGGAGGGCCCGCACGCAGCCCCGCACCGGACAAGCAGACCCACCAGCTGGGGCACCTCCTGCTCCATCGCGTGCTGATGTCGGCGTTTTCCCGCTGACACCGACCTCACCATCGCAGCCCGGCGCCAAAAAGCGGGAACGCGGCGAGAACTTGAGCGCGACACCCCGGACTCCCCCGGCGGAGGCCAGGCGCAGCCCGTCTCAGCGGCGCGGCGGCGACCCGCGGGGCTCCGGGAAGAGCGGGCACCACCAGCCGCCCCGCTGGCCGCCGCCGGCAACTTTTCCTCCCTCCCGCCGCCACCCGCCCCTCGCCGCGCCGCCCCGGGTCATCCGTTGCCCGCCCGCCCCCCGCAGCCGCCACCCCGCGCCCCCGGCCACCGCCCGCAGCGCCCCGCTACCCACCTCGGCTGCGAAGTGACGGGGGTCCCCCCGCTGCCGCCGCGGAGCCGCTTTTCCCCCTCTCCCCTCCTCCCCGCTCCGGTCGCCGCCTCTGCCCGGAGCCGGATACGGAGAGAAACTGATTCGCGTGGCCGCTTCCCTCGTTCTTCGCGCCGCCTCCCTCGGCGGAGCGCTCGGCAGCGGCCCCGAGCAGGCAAAACGCCGGCAGCGCCGAGGGCAGAGGCGCCCCGGCCACCCCCGCTCGGAAACTCTCCGGGGAAAGCAGCGCGAGCGAGCCCGGCTCCCCGCCGCCCCGCGCTGCCAATCACGGGGGCGGCCCCGCGCGGATTGGGCGGCCCCGCCGCCAGCAACCCCCCCTCCGGCAACTCGGGGCGCGCCGCCGGGGGCAGGACCCGCGGTCACCGCGCTGCGACGAGGAAGGGAGCCGCGGGGCCGGCGGCAAATTCCTCCACGCGCGCCCTCGCGTCCCCGGTGCTCCCGCCGCCCCTCCGGCGCTGCGCCGTCGCCCGGCGAGACCTGCCCGCCCCCAGCGGCCCCGCCGGAGCCCCCCGCCGCGTGGGCAGGAAGGGCGGGGGCCGGCGGCCGTTCCGCGCTGTGAGGCGATACCTCGGCTGCAGCCTGGTGAGGGCTTCCCCGAGGTGAGCGCAATTAGGCCCGTTAATTAATTAGGGAAAGATAAGGTGGCCGAGCGCAGGACTAACGACAGCATAATGAAAACAGTAACGTGGTGGTCACCTCGAGACGTGTCCACAACAAAGCGAGTGTGACTGGTGTGCCTTACGTACCGCACGTGTATTGTGTGCATTCAGAGCATGGCCAAACAGGCACGAGCGACAAGCGATAGGACCCGAGGGAACAGCGCGGAGCTGCATCAGGGGAGGGTCAAGTTGGGTATCAGGAAAAGGCTCTTCTCCAGAGGGCAGTGGGCGTGGATCTGGATGCCCAGGGCAGTGGTCACAGCTCCAAGCTGCTGGAGTTCAAGAAGCTTTTGGAGAATGCTGTCAGACACAGGGCTTGAAATTTGAGTGGTGCTGTGTGCAGCCAGGAGCTGGACTCAGTGGTCCTTATGGGTCAGTTCCAACTCGGGACATTCTGTAGTTCTATGACTTGGTGTATGAGGAATAACTTAGAGACGTATGTTTATTTGTACTTTTAGATATAGTTGTATATTGTGATGGCCCGATATTTCATAATTCATTTGAGCAAAGGAATACAAAACAGCACAGCCAAGGCAGGGGCTCTCTGCTCGCAGTCAGGCAGTGCTCTGGTTGGAGCATGGCAGCATGAAGGGTGGGAGCAGCAGGAGGCCTAAGGCTGCCCACACCACCTGACCTTCAGCATTTGGCTGGTGCATAACACAGGAGCCAGGCACACATCGCAGCCCATCACAAATCCTGTGCTTTTCATTCAGGTTCCTCTGGTTGTCCTCTGGAGACCTTGGCATCTGAGATAAGGCACCTACCAAAGATGCTTAGAATAAGGCAACACAAATACCCCGCTTTGATGTGCTGTGCAGAGTTACACAATGGAAACTCTGAAGAGCTTGTTATAAATCCTACCCTTCAGCAGCAGGACCTAACCGAGTGCTGCAGAGCAGCACCCTTCCAAGAGAAGGCACCCCACCTTCTCCTGGGGACAACTCTCTGCCCCCTTCCAGCAAGAACCACAGGGGAGGCTGTGTGCTGTGCTACAGGAAGTGAACCAACAGCGGGCCCTGAAAAAGTCAGCACAGAGCAGGAATGCTACTGCAGGCCAGTACCTGTCTGCACAAGGCTGCTGTCCAGGCAGCAAGGAAGGCACTGAACAGCTCACCTGTGCAGTGAGAGGTCCAGCTACTGGGATGCAAGAACCCATCTGCATTTCTTGAACTGCTTTGTAGAAGTGCTGCCCCACTCTCAAGGAATAAACCTGCTCAGGGTCCATAACAATAACGTATCATACATCCTTAATCTCCAGCTCATGACACTGTTGTTGGCCACCACAGAAAAAAGGCACCAGGAGGTATTATCCAGCACAGGGGAGTGTGGAGAACATTTCTTGTTCAGTGTCATTTCTAATATCTCAGAACCTGACACTTAATCACTCATCTAAATCATTCCCAGTTTTAATCAAACTATTCACATAACGTTAGTTCCAATGAAAACCAAAGCACATGCAGTGTACGGGCTGCAAACTGCAAAGAACACTGACATTAAACTTAGGATTCAAAATATCCAAAGTTTCTGGTTTCTGTGAGCCAGAGATAGAGAGCTTTTACCGTGTGTCCTCATCTGAACATCTGCTCTTGCCCAAATGTCTTGCCATTGAAGTAGGAAAAGTCAGTCTTGCATATTAAAGCAGCCTTTAGCACTGTATCTGCAGATGAGCACATCACAAACTGCTACTACAGGAGACACTTTAGGACTACCACCATTTCTTCTGGAGGATGAGAATTACACACAACAGACAGAAAGTGCTATAGAATCGTTTGTCGCAGAGCATTGCCAGTAAGCTGCCAACGAAGAAGACACACGTATTCAATGTTTTTGCTATTCCAGATGCATGTAATAAAACACCAGTTTTTAGGCCTTTAACAATGTTTGATCAGTTCTGTCTCAGAGAAAAAAAAAGAAAAAAAAAAAAAAAACACATCCTTTTCCAGCTCTACTTATCTGTCCAACCTGTACAGATACAAGATAACAACGCTGAAAAAGAAATCATTTAGCTGCAACCTTGGCAGTTCTGTAATGAATGATATCAAGAACCTGCAGACTTTTGGCCATAAAAGTGATGATAATACAAAGCAACCAGTAAAATTTCTGATCCTCATCTGAAGGGCACATGCCTGAAAACTGATTTTGTTGTACTGGCACTGTGCTTATTCTAGTACCCTGCAGACATTTAGTGACTGAGAAAAGCATGAGTGCCAGACACAAAACTACAGGGGTTATGCTAGAAAAATAGAGATAGCAAATAATGGTTTCTCCAGTTCTGAGATTTCCTCCATCACTTTTCATTCCCTGATTTTTATTATTGCCCCCATTTCTGTTTTACAGATTTTCCTTTCATGAGTAAAACTATTAAAGAGTGTCCAAATGAAAGCTACAAAGACGGTGAAGGTCTACAGAGGAAGATGTATGAGGAGCAGCTGAGTTGCCTTGGTTTGCTCAGCCCAGAACAGAGAAGCTGAGGGGAGGCCTGATGGCAGCTGCAGCTCTCACAAGGAGTGGAGGGACAGCGCTGAGCTCTGCTGTCTGACAGTGACAGGGCCTGAGGGAACGGCATGGGGCTGTGTCAGGGGAGGGCAGGTTGGGTGTCATCAGAAGGTGGTAGGCATGGAATTGGCTGCCCAGGGCAGTGGTCATGGCACCGAGCTGATGGAGTTCAAGAAGCATCTGGACAACGCTCTCAGACACATGGTCTGATTTTTGGGTGGTGCTATGTGGACTCCATGATCCTTATGTGTCCCTTACAACTTGGGTCATTCTATGATTCTATGAATGTGGTTATTCAGATGTGTTTTGAACTACTGCCATACACAAAATGAAACATTTCTGATAAACCAAAGTCTCAGAAGTGGCCACAAAATTGGCCTTTGCTTATTGATACCTTGCTTATCCTCGCAAGCTCAAGTTTCCAAAGCAGGTCATGTAATATAAATGCAAACCATGTACTTTCTTTGCCATAACTTTTGAATGTCATTGAGTGAAGAAACTTTCTTGCTATTATTCAATGTTGGCCTCAGCAGGCCTTATTTGTTTACTTGTTAAATGAAATAAGGATTATAATGGAATCAAAAGACACTTTTGTGACAATATTTAACTATGAGAAGTTGCTGCCATGTGCACATATTAGCTATTTCCATAAAATCCTATTAAATATCAGAGTTCCACAGCTAAGCTAATATTACCCATTGAACTTTTCTAACTCAAATAGCGTGGCAGCAGAAACCTGCCAAGAAACAAACCATGTTTAAGTCCCAAACCAGTAATTACATGACCAGTATTTAAATAAACCAAATACTATTAGGATGTTTTTACTAATATCCTAAATATTTTTTTTTTAATTCCAAACACAAGAAGCTTTAATTAGCAATTAACTTGTCTGAATGTTGCTTTTCTGACATCTCTGCTTGGAATTTGTTTTTCTGTTATTATAAGTATCTCTGCAATTCCATTCCAATTTGATAGTTTCTTAAATTGCCTGACTTCACTGTTCAGGTCATGATCTTGCATATACTCGTTTATTATTCTTGCCTATAATTAAGTATACATGTTTAAGTAGTCTTATTAAAATCAGAATCTAATTCATAATTAATCCAAAGCAAAGTTTAGGTATAAATAATGCACTACTGTATACATCTGTAAAGTGCAGGTGTGCTGTATGCACATAAGAGGAGACTTAGACAAGTGAGAGAATATGAACAAATGGGTATCTAAGATAGCAAAAGTGTAAGTAGGCCAACATAGGCTAAATCGACTGATTTATTTACTGGAAAGCATTTGTTAGTATTGTGTACTTGAAATTAATTATGTTTATAAATTTGGAGAGTTCACTACACTTGCAGTAAGTATGGTGATTTTATATATCTATATCTATCTATCTATATATATTATTTTATTTTTTTTTTAATCAGCAGATCAACCATTTCAGCCTATTAATTGCAGCCTAAGGAATGTTTACCCTCTGTCCTACCTATCATGCCAATTAGTTTGGCTAACAGCCTACTTAATTTGACAGCTGAGGATTAACAAGAGCTTAACAGTTCCCCTACAGACTACTGAATCCAGAAGGGATGCTTTTCCAAATCAAGATCATTCAAATGTTATTCTCTAAACTGCCTGTTATTAAGACTATCATGCTGTGGGGTTAGCTGGCTGCAGTGTAGCCTTAAGTCACACTGTTTTGAAAACGAGACTCTTTGTTTATACATTTAAAAAAGGTCAAGATTTTTGAAAACTGAATAACAATGTTCCCTGCCTTATAAAATATTGAACTAGACGCTTTAATGGAAAGTTAAACAGCAGACATAAAGGTCTTTCTGGAAATCCAGTTCCCCTAAGGCCTTAGTTTGCAAATTAAATATTAAGCCTCACTTGAAAGCTTTGACCTAGGCACTATTTTCGAGGAACTGTGTTTGGGAAGTTATTTCTATTGGAAATGAGAGGTTATTGTACCTCTTTGCCACTCTTCAAAGCACAAACAGACAAATAGTTTCTCTTTGTTTCTAGTACCACAGCTTGGAGAAACTTATTTCATAACAATAATATCTGAGGTTATTTTGGGTAAAGCTTCCATGGAGCAAAAATTCTATTTTCTTCTATGAAAACAGACAGACACAGTGAGTAAGATTTGCATCATGAGCACTTAAACGAAGGCACATATGTTTTACCAGAGAGACCGCAACAACAAACTTGCTCTTGGGGTGCTTCTGTTGCATCATTACAAGCAGCATGCAACCACAGTTTGCCACCTCCTCCGGTTGTACTCTGCCCTCTAAGGAGAAGTTACAGAGTTACAAAACACGCTGAGAGCCAGAATTCTGCGAAGGATTAGGTTTCATTTTGTCTCTCCTTACATCTGTTGGTAACTATTGGACATATGCAGAGACATTTGACTTCTGGAACATAAGGCATTTCATAAGTCATCTACTCTTGTAATCAGAAGAATCTATGACGGTGGGAGCTTGCAAATAAAGCTGACTTCAGTGGATTTCATAACTTGTTAAAACCTAAACTACTCTTGCAAACTAACCAAAGCATCAGTACTGACCAACATCTTTCATTAAATTCTCACATAGAAAAAGATAAAGCTTGTAATTTGTAATTTCAGGATGATATGCTTTGCAGATTCTTTTATAGTTGCATATTAAACTTTTTCACGGCTTTGAGGGAAATCACATCTCTTCCTTTATAGGAGTGTAGGTAAATAAAGTAAGTTGATTTTTGCCACCTGATTTCCTTCTATAGTTTTCACCACTTTATCATGACCATGAGATTGAACGGTGGGTCTACCTATGCTTAGTTGGAATTGCAGTGCATTATAACTTTACTTTGAGGACCAAAGCTAACTCATATGCACTGGTGCTACTAAGCACTTAACTATGGGCTGGTGACAGTGTAACTAGTTATAAAGTTTACGACACACAATGCCACAGAAAAGGGAAAATATATGTATAAAAGAGGAATGAAGTTCTAGCAATGAATGTCAGTCAAAATCCTCATTAACCAATTCAAACCTAGTCATTTTTCTGAATTATAAAAAATCATGCAGTGCTTAGCATGTGCCTGCTAAAAAGGGCAGAAGATCAGGAGTTCATTAAACTCGTCATACCCTCAAACAGAAATGGATTTTATTTCAATCATCTGAGAAACTACAGTGGACAAATCATTTGAAACAGTTTTTTTAAAATGTTGCTAATACATGGTGGAACATATAGTTTTTCTTGTTGTTTGAGACTGGTAGGCTGATTGCATCACTAGGGTCAGTGAGACTGTGTTCCCTACTAACACTTGTCATGCAGTTCCTTAATCCCATTAATTTCTTTTGGATTGCTCACATGCATAAAATGATCACCGGATCTTGTCCCATAGAGATGGCAAGTTTGGCTGTGCTGCATTAACCAGCACAAGCCTCAACAGAAGTTAATTCCAGCCTTTAATGTTACCTAATCTTTCAACTTCTGAAGCATAAGTTAACAGTCATACTAGTTTGCTTTATTTTTGGCTATAAAAATTGCTAATAAGTCACAGTATTTATAGATGCTTTCATATGCATATTCAAAACGTCTTTACTGGAAATAGCTTCATGGTTGAAACATCTGGTCAGACATCTCAACTAAGCATCTATTGTACTATTACCACGAACTGATAGAAACACGGTAAGTAGAAAATACTCTTCTTAATCTCTCAAGCATTTATGATCTGCATAAAGTATCCATGAAAATCAGAGTCCTGACTATTAGTGTAATTTTTACTGTGTTCTCTGGATTTTTCAGATCAGTGTATATGTACAAAATGTCACTGTTAATATACAGCAACTTTGTTTTCTGAGTAAACAGCAGCTGAAATAAGGGGAAGTCACCACTTTTCCTTCTGCCATAAAAACAGAAGGGAAATTCCCCACTTCTGTTCTTTGCTATGGCAAAGTACTCCTGGAAGAAGAGTCGCCAAGAGGAGGAACCTGAAGTGGGACAATGGTAAGACTAACCAGTACCTGAAGAATTTCTAGTTCTCTCACTTTTTGCCTGCAAGTAACTGTATTGGCAGGCTGGGAAAGCAAAGTTTTTCCAGCTTGCAATCCTCTAAGTCATTTTCATGTGTTAAGAAACATTTCCATTCTTCATTCTCCCAACCAGCTCCTACTTCCTGCTAGGTGATGAAAGGAAGACCTATACTTTTCTCTTCCCTTCAACTCACTGTACAAATTGCTTCTTGTCCCACTACGTAAGATAAAAAAACTACAACCAAACAGTATGATCAGTCTTGGTAACTGCCCAAGGACAGAAGGAAGAATGAATGGATTAAAATGATTAATGAAAAGGGAAAACAGCAGGAAGGCTCAAAAGGACATAACAGTAAAAACTATTAACATTCATTTATAACAAATTCCAGGATTACTATAATCACACTTCATAGCATTATGTGGCTGAGGGATGGGGAAATAGAAAAAGAATGGAGTCAAAGTTGGAGAAGAAGATAACACCAAGGAACTGGTAAACGGAAAGCCATGGTAGGATAAAGACAACAAGAACTGCTAGCAATTTAAATTGGAAAAAAAATAAAGAAAAGACAGAAGTGGTTAGAGAAAAAGGCTCATAAGATAGAAGAAATATTTAGTAAAGAATGTCTTGAGACTATTACAATGAAATTCAAAGAAATTGTTTAGCTGTCAAGGCTTTTGACTGTACAGCAGAAGCAGAAGACTAGACTGTCCTGAAGAAAAGATTGTTAATGCAAGAGCTACACGTCTTCAGATATGATGATGAAGTAACAGACACAGGCTGAAGAAGGGATTTTTCTCTTTCAAACAACTGTTATATTTCTGCATGCATATGGTCTGACAGAAGAAGCTGAGGTCTAAATGCATGCTTCTGGACTTCTTTGTGTCGTCATTTCAGTACTCAATAAGGCCACTTTTTGGGGAAAGAGGATGTCAAGTTCTTACTGGACTTTAAAAAAATTCCATTTTTTTCCCTAAATTCTGAA